TTGTCCGAGGCCCTGGGGGTCTCCACGGTCTTCCCAGCACCCGCTCCTTCCCGCTGCTTCCCCGGCTCCCTTCCTGGCCAGCACCCGGTGGGAGGCGGAGCCCACTCCCCAGCGACGTGATTTCTGCACCTGGGGATGCCGGTGCACGGCCCACCTCTCCCTCTGCGGCCCCATCCCTCCCACAGGAGCGGGATGTGGGCGGCTCATCCCGTTTGCATGTCGAGAGAGTGACAGCGAGCCCAGCGGGGACCTGGCTCCAGCCCAGGACCGCGCTCCTGAACCTGAGAGTGCGGGACGGAGCGTCCCTCCTCACCGCGGGCTGGCTCTGCGCTGCAGGCAGCTCTCCTGCCCGGGTCACGGGGCTGGACTGTGAGGCCGTGAAGACTGCAGCGTGAGTGGGCGCGGGCGGCTGTGTCGAGGGCGGTCTTGCCCCCGGACGCCCACAGCTCTCCTCGGGACACAGGAAAGGGGACAGAATCATCCTTCGAGCCCTGGCCTTCCCCCGGTCAGCCCTGCACCAGCGCTGGGCTCTACTTTTGACTCTCGGCGCCCTTTGGGTGAGTTCAAGGAGCAGCTTTGTGCAGAGCCCCGGGTCCTGCGGGCACCACCATGCGCGTCCTGCCTCACTGTGCCTGTCCTCGTTCCTGTAGAGTCGCAACCTTGAAAGAACTCCCAGGTGTGGGCTGCGTGAGTTTTCCTCCCTTGTGGGCCCGTCTGAAGACTAAACCCAGTGACCGTGCTCCAAGACACGGCCCCTGTCCTCTGGCCTGCCCCCCTTCCCGCCGAGGACAGGGCGGTCCTGTCTACCCCGGCCGGGCCTCCCTCCCTGCACGCACTTCCCCGGACAGCCACCTGCTCCGGATGTGGCGGCTGAAGCGTTCCCCTCCAGCAGGGCGGGGCGGGCCGAGGAGGACGGCGTTGGGAGGTGGAGGCACAGAGAGCAGGTGCCCCAGGAAGCGGGAAGAGACTTGTGGACCCGCAGACTCAGCCAGGGCTGGCCTTTGTCCCTGGAGCTTGGGGTGACCCTGAGATGTTAAAGACCCTCGGGGTCTGTGGTGGTGAGAATGCTCCCTGCTGGGGGACCAGCTAGCCCTGCCCACCTGCCCGCTCAGCTGTCCTTGAGCAGTGCACGCCCTGAGCAGCTGTGCACAACACTCTTGCCCTCCCAGCACCCAGGGTCCCGCAGGGCTACACCGTGAGGTGGTTAAACCAGGCGCAGGCTGCACACTCGCTGCAGGCCAGGCAGGGACCGCAGGGGAGGGGCCGCCGGCCAGGGTCTCCGAGCTCTGGGGGACCCGGCCTCCACGGCCCTCCGGACAGAGTCTCTCGGGCCCCTTTACTCTCCTAAAACTTAGGGTCACACAGGGACTCCCGAATATCTGTGTTGGGGTGTTTTCCATGTTCAAATTACAACTGAGGAATGTGAACACATTAACTGACGTAAAAATAATGATGATAACCCATTATGGTACCGTTAGAAGCATTTTTTAATGAAAAATAGCTGTCTCATCCAGGACAACAAGAGTACGTGAGAGCGCAGGGCTGTTTCCGTTTCGCGCACACGCCCGCCATCTGCCGCGGCAGGGACAGCGGGGCCGGGTCGGTATCACGCGGCATCTGACCACGGAGGGCCCAGGAAGGGACGAGGGAGGCGACGTCTCAGGGTTACTGTGCCAGAGCCCCGGGCCGAACCGAAATGTTTTCCTTAAAAACCAAACCGCAGACACACTTCAGTGGGCATGAGCCACCGCCCCCCAGAACGGGTCCTCCCTTGGCCTCGGCGCTGACGGTCGCTGTGATCGCGCAGGGACCAGAGACGCCTCCTGGCTGCTGGCTCCACCGAAACCGTCAGGCCGAGTGTCTGCTTGACGCTGCGGCAGAGCCCAGGCCGGGCCGGGCCGACCCCACAGGGAAGCCTGAGCCCCAGACCCCTGGCCAGACCAGGGCAGCCGGAGTGCGGGGCGGTCCGGGGTGGTCTGAGGAAGCCTAGTGGGTGCCGGGCGCCATGGAACTACGTGGAGAGGCCTCTGCGTCTCCCCAGTCGACGACCGTGAGCTCATCTTGCTCCTCCCGGGGAGAGCCATGGGGACTCTCCGAGCTTCTTGCCGACGCAGGCGTCATTTCTGCGTCTCGCACTTGAGGGGTCCTGCTGATCCAGCAGCGGTCTGATCGGCAGTCGCGGTGGATGGGGTCTGCTAGTGAGTGTGGAAGTGCGTGTCCGGGGGGCGGCGCTGCTATTCCACTGACCTCGCGGGGGCTGCGCAGGGACCCGTGTCCTGAACCCGCCGCGACAGCGCGGTGCTTTGATGCATTTCTTAGTCTTACGGCTGCAAAACCAAGTAGGTTGGAAGACGACCTTAAAAAAAACCGTCATCCTCGTGTGCAGAATGGTCCGTCATTCTTGGGAGAGTCCACGCCGAGTGTGAAAAGCAGGGTGAAAACTTAAATGTGAGTGGACGGAGAGCCCGTGCCCGCCACGGTCCAGCCTGGCCTGCGCAGGCGGCTGCGCAACGGCGGACAGCCATTGCTCGGACGTGGTCGGAAGGAGGCCTCGTCCACAGTTCACGAGGCCAGCGACAGCGTGAATTTTGGAGAGTGTGTTTTGTGTATTTGGCTGTGCGCAGTTTCCCGTCACACTCTGTGGACGGCGTGGTCCTGCTTCTCGAACCTCCAGCGAGGCGCTCGTCTAAAGCACGGCATGTAGGATTCGCTCGCGGGAAGCACGGCGGGAAACGACGCTGCTGCGGCAGGGCCGTCGGGGGCCACCCGCAGGCCTGCGGAGGCAGAGACCAGGACCAGCGGGAGGAGTGAGGGACCCAGCCTCTCCCCGGCGCCACTCCCTCCTCCCACACGAGGCTCCGAGCTCCCACAGGGGAGCCGCTGGGCCCGCCCGGGCAGAGGACGGGGAGCCTGGGCGTGGTCGCTGCAGCCGCAGGCGGGGTGAGCTCGCCCTCGAGGAGGCAGCGTGAGGTCAGGCTGGCCCACAGGACAGGAAGGCCCCACAGAGGGGCTGGAGGACCGCGGCCACACGAGGACGATGGGGCCGTGCGGCTGCCCAGCACGGGGCCCCCGGGGGCGTCCTTCGATGGAACCAGCTTCATGTGTGCAAGGACCACTGTGTCACAGGAAGTGGCGGACGACGGGTGATGTTCACGTGTCGCTAATCCTGGGGTGAGCGGGGCTGGAGCAGGTGCCCCCAAGGTGCAGGCGTCCCGAGGACGCTGCCAGACAGGGCCAGCAGAGCAAGGTTCGAGAATCGATGCGGGAATCTCCGTGACAGACACCTCGACACCAGCGGGTGGCCGGCGTCTGTGGACGGGCAGCGTCAGGACCACGGTGGGTGCCGCCACGCCTCGGCCAGCCCCGTACCTCACAGCCCATCCCTGACCTCGGTGGCCCTGCCGCCCAGACCGTCGCGTGGGGAGGAACTTGCCAGCTCACAGCGTCCTTGGTCTTGTCTCTGCCCCCAGAACGGGTCACTCGCTCGGGAAGCCCCTTCCCCGGTGGCCTGCGTCCCAGTGCTGTGCTTCTGCTGGGTCCGCAGAGGCTGAGAGAGACCGCAGGGCTCACGCTCGAGCTGCGGCTGCTCCCGTGGGGAAGAGGCGGACACGACGCGCGTTCTGAACGCCCAGCGCAGTCCGGGCCACCGCGCCCGCTGCACCTACCGTCCCGGCCGATGGGCTGTGTGCAAGCCACAGATCACCTCGCCTGGAATTTAAAAATATTTCACACTTTCTTGGGGTGGTCGTTCCTAACCTTGTCTTTCTCCCACGGCCTGCACTACCCTGGAGGCGCCTGCGGTCCGAGGCGCTGCCTGGCATCTGGCTGCGTCCGCGCCAGCACCAAGGCGTCTGCTGAGTCCCACCCGACAGTTGGCAGGTGCGCAGACGGCACGCCCCGGGCGTGGGTGCAGCTGTGTGCCCGGCTGAGCCGCCGGCGTGTTTGCCGGGCCAGAAGAGCAGGTTTGAAGGGTGGTGCCATGTGGACGGTATCTTGCTGCCTGCATTAGAATGTTTGAGGTAAACTGTGTCCGTGACACATGTCTTCCGGCTACGTGTGGCCTGGGTCTTCCAGGTGTACGAGAAGTGACCGTGAGCCATCTCGGGTCTGCGTGAGTCCCGAGCCTTGCAGAGAGCAAGCGTGTTGACACGCAGACTGTACTCGTTGCTGTGCGACGGGAGCATGGCTTGAAATCACGTGTGACAGTCTAGGATTGATTCGGAAACTCGAAAGTCCCCGGGACATGAGCACGTCGGCTGCCCGTGACCTGGCCGAGCCCCGCACCCCCTGCCCCTCTGATGCAGCGCCGGCCGGTCTGGGCGAGGCCGCGGGCTCCCTGGGCGCGTCTCGCCAGCCCTTCCTGATTCCCGCGACGTCCCCCGTGGCCGGCGGTGCAGGTCCAGAGCGCTGCATGTAGAGCCACGCGGGCAGGTGCTAGAGCTGCCCGCCGTCCTGCCGTGTTCACAGACACGGCGCCCCGTGGCCCCTTGGCTCCTCGGGGTGAGCAGAGTGTGAGCCCAGACCTGGCGCAGAGCCCAGGGCACCCGGTGCGTGTGCAGGGCCGGGTCCTCCCGGGGCCGGCGGCTCCGCGCACGGCGGCAGGTGCGCGCCAGGCACTGTAGGGCCTCTTCCAGGGCGAGGGCGGGACGCAGAGACCGACGCGTGTTTGTCCATCTCATGAGGCAGGTCCCAGCCCCGCTGCTTTCCTGGAATCTCCCCTCTGCCCGCGTGTGCGTGCATGTGTGTGTGCGTGTGCGTCCCTCCCTCCCTCCGTGCCCCTTACACACATCACATTTAAACATGGACGGTGAATCGCTCAGCACGCAGCTTGTTTACTGAAAGCACAGGCTCGCACGTGCTGGACACTGCAGGGACCCTTTCCGGGCACGTGAACACTCCCTTCGCTGTGGCGAGGCGCCGGCTCTGTGTGGGGCGGTTCCGGCTGGGCACCTGCGGGCCCAAGGCGGCTTCCCCGGATGACCGTGCGCTTTCTCCCGCAGATGAAATCATGCACCAGGACATCGTCCCGCTCTGCGCTGCTGACATCCAGGACCAGCTGAGGAAGCGCTTCGCGTACCTGTCAGGTGAGTCCCGGGGCTGGGCAGTGGGGGAGGGGGTGGTCTGCGGCCAGCCTGAAGCTGCCCAGCCTTGCGCGGCCCCAGCCGCAGCTGGAACCGGGAACGGTCGCACGGAGCCGTCCGGCCTGCCGGGCTCTGACCTGAGGAGCCTCGGTGGCTCTCTGAGCAGGCGGCCGAGGTGGCTGCCTCGGGTCGGCGGCCGCCGGAAAGAGCGGCGGACGCGGGACAGGGTCCTGACGAGGACACGGCCCTGCGCTCCTGACACGGGGGCCTTCCCACAGCAGGCGAGAGTGGGTGCAGAGCAGGGCGGGGCTCCGGGTCCTCTTCCCGGGCACGGTCTGGCCTCTGGGCTCTGTCCTCAGCCACCCTGGCCGCCCCTCCGCCCAGGCCCTGCCCCGTCAGCGGCGGCCTGGAGCCCTGCACCCGCCACACCTGCAGCTGCCGCACACACCTGTGGACGTGGCACCCACCCCACGCAGCGGCCCAGCGTGGCTCTCGTGTGGCCAGGGCAGCTGCCACAGCCCTCAGCGCTGTGTGCACACCGCTCTTGCCTGCACACATCCGCCTGCCACGACCAATTCAGAAAAAACCGTGCACACGATGCCTTCCCGCTGCCCTCGGGGCGGCCCCCGCAGGGACAGCGAGGGCTCTCGGGCTCGGTCCCCACCCCAGGGTCCCTCCCAGCCGCCGCCCTCACTCCTGGGCCGGCACCGGGGTCCGCCCTGCGCCCTCTGCCCCATTTGCTCTTCCTCACCTCGGCCCCCGCCCACGCCCCACCTGTTCCTGTGGCGTCGTGTCCCCGTCTGTGTGGTGCGTGTCCTTCCCACCAGCACGCAGGTGCCACCGGGGCTGGGCTCATTCTCGGCCGCGCCCCAGCTCGGACACCACGTCCGCAGCCAGCGTGTCCTGGGGGGTCAGCGTGGGCCCTCGGCTCCCCAGGCGCTCTGGTCCCGGATCACCGTTTCTGAAGCGGGTTGGTGGTGCACGGGAGCTGCCCATGCTGTCTGGCGGAGGCTCTTGCCTCCAGTTACCCGGAACATTTGCCGCAGCCCCCTGACCATCACTGCAGGCGCCGCACCCCAGAGGGCTCTGAGCCCCGTCTCAGCCCCGTCCGAGGGCAGGCCGTGCACACACACCAGGCGGCACAGACAACGGCGCAGTGTGCGCCTCCCGCCGCTCCGCCTTGGGGCGGAGGAATGTTCTAGGGGGAAGTGAAAACTGAGCGTGCGGAGGGGCCGTGGCGTGAGCGGCGACTGCGCTGTTCCGGCTGTGGGGTGCGCAGAGGTCGGGAGACCCTAGGCGCTGAGGAGGTTCGGTGGGAAGAAGGTACTTAGGGCGGAACTGAGCGGGGGCAGGCGTGTCCCGGTGCGGGCCGTGGACGCCCCTGCGGGCTCAGCTCTGAAGGCCGGGCGGCGCGGAGCCCACGCGAGGGGGGTTGGGACCCAGTCAGGAGGGACGTGCTCCTGTGAAGAAGGGACCGGAAATGCCCCCCAGGTGCAGAGGGCGCGTTGTGTCCACTGAGGGCAGTGAGGCTGACGGGCCAGCCTGGAAGCAGAAGTTCTAGAAGGTACGGGAGCGGGGGAGGCGATGACAGAGGGAGCCACTGTGGTGCGTGTCCTGCCGCGTGTGCCTGGGACCATCACGCCGGGTCTGCTCGGTGAGGCTGTTGAGTGGCACCCGCGGCCGTCTGTCCCGCGCGCCAGCCCACCAGCGCTTGGCCACCTGCCGTGAGGTGGACACAGGGCGCTACCTCTGTGAGGACTTGGGCCGGGAGGGCAGCCGCGGGGTCTCGAGGCCAGACCTGGGCTCACGGGGCAGGAATGGGCTTGTCCCACCAAGGGGACCGTGGCAGGGACGGTGGCCGTCCCCGGCAGACAGAGCTGGAGCCCGGCCTGCGTGACTGCCCGGTGGCCGCGTAGAAGGCGGAGTCTTGGAGGAGCTCCCAGCGCCCACAGACTGCAATTAGGCAAGCATCAGGGCACGCACCTACACGGAACAGGGTGTGGCATTTAAGTGACGTGCACCTCGTTTATAAAGCGTGCAGAGGGGATTAGTTCGCGGTGTCAGGGAGAAGCGTGCGGGCTTGTGCACGCATCTCGGTTATGCAGAAAAGCACGTACAAATGCGCGTGGAAGGAAGCATGTTGAAACGCTGGGGCGGCCGCGCCTCGGTGGCGCACAGCGTAGCACTGCCCTGATCCGCCTCACTCTGTTTTATTCCCAGAGGCCATCTGCATGGCGTGCGTTTCTGCCACGACGAACGTTACGCGCAGCCAAGACGCTCCTCAGTTTTAGCCGGAACACTCGGTGATCCGAGGCGCGAGGACGATCGGCCGCAGGGCCAGAGCCCGCACTCACGCCTGCTGTGGTCTCTCCCCAGGTGGGCGGGGCCAGGACGGGAGCCCGGTCATCACCTTCCCCGACTACCCGGCCTTCAGCGAGATCCCGGACGAGGAGTTCCAGAGTGTCATGACCTACCTCACCAGCATCCCCAGGTGCGTGCGAGCACGGGCCCGGCCGCCTGCGGCCCCTGCTGCTGTTTCTGTGCAGGGGTTTCTGCGTCGTCGAGAGCCCCGGGACTGCGGGAGGGGCTGCTGTCTCTGTGGGGCGTCACCATTGTCGAGGTCCCCAGGACTGCGGGGCGGGCTGGAGCTCTGTCAGGTAAGGAGGTCGTGGCTCATGGGAGTTTCAAACTTGCCCAAGATCTGATCTGGGGCCAGGATCCAGCTTCGCAAGGCCCCAGGCCACCGTCCCTCCCCGCAGGGGTGCCTGGAGCCCGGGTGGCCAGCCGTGGACCTGACTGAGCCCGGAGTGGTTCCCTTTCCTTTGGAAGTGTCACCAGCCTACAGTGGGCGGGTCTTTCTTTTATGGCAAGGGAGCCGCGCAGTGGGGTCTGAGGTCTGGGGGGGGCTTGTCCGCTGCGCGTCCCTGAGGGCAAGGCCGCCGCGGGGGTCTCGGCACCCACTGCTCCCAGCAGACGCGGAGCACGTCGGCCTCCTGCCCTGCTCGGTGGCCGCTGCCCCGTTCGGGTGTCGTGAAGGGTGCACTGAGACAGGAGCGTCCTCAAAGATGAGGCTGTCGCCCCTCACGTCACACAGAGCGTGAGGAAAGCGTGAACCAGAGGAGACGTTTACCAGGAGGGACGAGAGTGCGGCCAGGTCGCCGCCCACCATGCCGCCCTCTGTTCCCCGACTTCGAAGACGGGTCACGGGGCTTTGGTGACAGAGCTCTGGGAATTCGCGTGATCTAGAAACGGACCACAGCAGCGAGTTTGACCCCTGATACATGTCAGCCGGTTGGTGCTCTGAGGAGGCTCCCGGCCGCCTGGCGGGTGGGGTCGCGGTGAGCAGAGGGTGGCTCGTGCTGGCCGCGGTCAGAGCCTCGGGGACGGCGGCGTCCCAGCGTCCAGGACTCCCCTCGTCTGGGCATTGCGGCCTGGGCCCCGTCTCCTGCCCTCCGGAGAATCTCGCACCCCCACGCGCCGGGCTCTGCCAGCCCCGCCGAGCGCACAGAGGACGGGGCCGGCTCTGGGGGACCAGGGGGACCGCGGTGGCCGCTTGGCGGGATGCGGTGCCACAGAGCACTTCCGGATGTTCCCTCCCTCCGTCCTCCGATCGCGCTGTGGCGGGAAGGCAGTTCCGAAGCTGGTTTCATGGATGAGGCCACCGAGTCCCTGAGCGACATGTCTCATTGACACAGTGGCGCGCGGCAGCGGCTGAGGGCTCAGACCACAGGGCCACGTCCCAGGACGCAGGCTGTGGGCTTCTGTCACGGCCCGCCTCGCCCCGCCCCGGCCCAGCGCCCTGCACACACGGGGCTGAACAGAACTCCGTGGTGCCGACCCGAACTCGTTTGTGAGGCGCTGGGCTGCGTGCAGGCTGGCACCCTCCCGCCAGGTGCCAAGCGTCTCCGTCTGTCGAGGCTCCTGCCCTGCTTCTGAGACCTCGTCGGGTCCCGCAGTTCTCCACGTCCCTTTTCTTGAGATCTGACGGAGCGGACTGCACAGAACTCAGAGGCCATCTGTAAACACCAGGAGAGCGTGGTATGCACGTGTGGTCTGCTATCTCTGGTCACCAGGTGGCTCCGGAACCTTCCACAGCCCTCTTGCTGCTGTCACTTCCCTGCCCTTTCTGCTCCTGAGATCCAGGAATCTCAGGCCCAGCTGTCCCTGTGGGGCGCGCGAGACCCCAGTGCGTGGAGCCTGGCCCCGGCTGGAGGCCGGCAGCTCGCGCCCATCCTGGTGGCGCCACTGTGGGGTCTCGGCTGTGTGTGCCGGCGGGCCTAGGGCTCCCCGCTGCTCACATAGAGAGGATTAAGCGGAGTGAGTCCTTCCCCTGCCTGGGGGTGGAAACTCAGGTTTTCTGGTCACTCTTGGATTTTAAAAAATGAAGGGATCATTTGACGTCACTAGACAGTCTCAGTCAGTCCCAGGAGTGTCAAGGCCCAACACGCTGAGCTGGCGCAGCCGTGAGCCTCTCCCGGGGCCACGGGTACCGCCGCCTCTTACTGTCACGTGGACCTGTCTTTTCCAGCCCTCCCCGTCCACCTCCTGCCTCCTGGCCTTTGCACATGCCTACGCCCTCGGCCACCTCCTCAGGGAAGCCCTCCAGCCCACCCCACACCCTGGCACTGTTGGGGCTCGTTGGCTTCTTGGGGCT